TGTGTGTGTGTGCGTGTTTGTGTGCGTGTGTGTGTGTCTGTGTGTGTGTATGTATTTGTATTTGTCGTGAAACAACATGATCAATGCGCCAGCATCTGGACAATAAACGTAATACAGTTTACCTTATGTTATTTCATAGGAGGGGGCTCTCGTGGCCTAGAGGTTAAGGTGTTGGCCTCTCATTCAAAAGGTCCAGGGTTCGAATCCGGGTAGCGACCGAAAAAATTTTCTTCTCGAAATTTGTCTCCTTTCACCTCATTTCCTGCTCTCTAGCAATGTTCTGTCGTCTGCTTTCGTCTCCTCCTTCTGCCCCCACCCCCTCACCTCCTTTGCCCCTTCCTCTGGGCTCCTGATTCTTTCTGCAGCCTTTCTACTGCTACTCCTTCGCTTCTTCTTGCTACTGTCTTTCAGCCACACCCCTGATCTTCTGGTAGGAAGGATCTACACCAAGCCTTTTCGGACAAGGGCAAAAAATCTCGGAGGGCCCGTGTGCAAGTTGCGCACATTAAAGATCCGTTGGTTGTCTAAAATCGATAAGAGTAGGCTTCGGCCGCCACCAGGGCAAAATTCAAAATTTCCTACCAACTGAAAATATTAGGTGTGTCCCGCGCGCTCATATGACCTGATGCAGTTGCGAGCCCCGTAAAACACTTTACAAAAACAAAAACATTTTATAGGATTGATTTTATTTCGTTCATTTTCAAGTAGATAATTTTCCTCTTCTCTGCAGCTGAAAAGTTATTTTTCCTCCGCGTTCCAAAATGTTTTCATAAACACTGCTCGATATCTCGAACTCATTTTCAGATACACAAATATATTCACGCTAGAGTTGACAGTTTCTGTAAGAAATGATGAAGTCCAAATGACAAGATAGAGATTTTGATAGACTCCAAAAAAACGGAAACTTGGGTCAATCAGCATATAGAAAAACAGGAGCGTGGGAGGTACGGCGCAGACGATGAAAATGACAGCGATGAAGGTCACCATTTTCACAACCTTTTGATCTTTGACCCCAACACCTCCCGCTGCACGATCAGACTTGGCTGCAGTGGCTAGTCGCCATTTTGTTTTACTGTTGAGTTTGACGATGAGAACGATGGTACAGCAGATGACGAAGACGAAGGAAAATGTCGTAGCAAATACACCTAGAGTGAGAAACGAAATGACTTCTAGCATTTCTCTCTCAGCCGTGTAGGTAGATTTTAGTATAGTGGCATTCCTGGTGAAATCGAAAACCCACTCAAATCTATGGCCAAGGAAGAAGGGGATAATCAAAATGGTTATTGTAATGTAGATGGAGATAATAATTATCTTTGTCCTTCCCGGTGTGATGATCGTCTTCACCTTCAGAGGGACAGCGATACACAGACATCGTTCGAAGGTGATGAAGGCGGTGATAAAAGTGGCGATTTTGACAAAGAGTACGTGCGGCGCTGACCCCGTGAGGTACGAGATATCCGTTGAGTCAAAGGGCAACTCAGAGTTGTAGAAGAGTGGGTTCATGCAGATGCTTATCCATATCATGGTCAGCAGGGAGCACAGGTCAGCGACAGCGAGCCCTGAAATGATAAACAGTATACGGGATGGAAAAACATCCTTCACAAAGTTATGTAAAAACACAAATAAACACAAAACAAACAATTTAGTATTCACTAGTGTGGGCTACATGAGAGAGAAAGGTATTTTCAACAGTGGTTCAGATTACAAAGCCCAACAATTTTGAATCTTTTTTTTTTAATTGCATTTTGTTATTCTGTGGTATCGGTGCAGGTGCTTGAAAAATACTTTATTGAAATTAACATTGAAAATATTAAAAAAGCAAAAAAAGGATACACAATGAGGGTACAATTTTTAAAAGGGGCACTATTTTTCCCTCTCCCCTGAATAAATAGAAAATGATTTCTGAGGTTTGAGTAGGAGAGCAGCTTTACGACAGAATGTAAATGTGCTGTTAGCTATATTTAATCTTATGTCTATTATTTCCAATCACTTACATGGGTTATGTTCTATTACTAGACGGTTGTAAAGACACATTAGTTGTAAGAAACTGTAGACGTAATAATTGCCATCTCACCCATGAGGCTGATGTTCATGCTGTCCTGAAAGCCTTGCTTGGCAAACACCACAATGTTGATGATGTTGGAGGCCACGCCGAACAGACTGAGGAGACCAGAGATGACCACCACGTTGACCACTTGGAAAATGTACCACTGCTCATCGCTTACGATTTGTGCATATTGTACCCCAGGTGATTGCGTGGTTATTGGCAAGTTCATGTTCTCGTTGAGAGAGTAAGTTGAGTTGTTTCCCCACAATAAATGTGAAATCGACATTCTCGGGTGGGAGAGACGCGTGGGGCATCGACACCACAGTTACTTTAGTGCTAGGCCCCTCCCCAATTTCAGGTACAGACCTTGATTTATACGCTCAGTATAAAGGAAACCAAAGCTTAATCAACGAGATAAGAATGATCATTTTACAACGTTTTTCTTTGTGTACCTGCATTGTACTCTAACATTATGACAGCTATTTTCTTTTTAAGATTGTGATTACATCAAAAAAATCTTATAACAAGAATGTATTGATAATTGTTATAATAGTATCTATGTTACTTAATTTTTAATTATACTGAATTAATAAGACTGGGTTGTTGAATTTGTTCAATTATGCTGAAAATCCGTGATAAACGTCCATTATAACCATTATTTCAATCATTTGAGGAAACATTCGGCACAGACTTACAAAGATCTAAATGTCACCGTCATAGTAGTGATTATATTGACCCTCAAAAGGGGTAACAAATGCCTTCCTTTGTCAGATTCCAAAAAAAAAAATCTTTGTTTCGTCAGTCTTTATCCTCGTGTGCTCATTACATGTACCACAACCGATTTTTTCTTGAGCAGCTTATCATGATGTGACAGTTAGCATCCTAAAGAAGAATGTTCCAACTTGTTTGTCAGTAAATTTTAATTATCCAGTAGATCCGAAGGAGTCATGACAAACACAGCACATGTTCGTTCATCGATCTGAGCTCACGTCATCATTATCATTATTTATTTGCCTTTATATCTTGGAAAGAAAAGAAATCAAATGAGGCAGTACTTGAGGAAGCCAACATGGGAAGCTCACTGATAAAAACAATCAGGAAAAGATTAATGCAGTTTTGAGGACACCTGAATAGACGTAAGGGTCTTGAACATCTAGCTCTCACTGGCAACATTGAAGGCAAACGAGGCAGGGGTAGGCCCAGAGGAACCTACTTGGAGAACCTAAACAGATAGTTTACAGGACAGATCAGAGAATTTAGCATTTTTAAGAGCATCCGAGCAAAGGAATAAACGGAGAACCATGATCGCCGATGTCTGCCGCAGATATTTCACTTGATGATGATGATTTACCTTTAATTACGAATCCCACTGATGCAAACAGCCTCTCGTGTGTCTAATCTTTAGGAGTTTGTCTTGTTTTGTTTGACTTTTCTGCGCTTTCTAAGACATTTAAATGTTTTCAATAGTAATATTATAAGTATAACATTTTTGTATCCCTTGAATTCCCGCTCACCCACAAGCTCTGTTCGCTTTCAATCTACGTTATCACCCAAGCAAACATTATAACATTCTAAAAATTTTCACGAGAACAAATGCGATGGAGTCTAAGGGCACCACTAACGACCACAGAACGGCATATTTGGGATGTTGCAAGTGCCGTAAAACTCTTACTAAAACAATAAATCAGGAGAGACTCGAGAAACATTTCCCTACACAGGAATCAAACTCTCGTTTTCTGCGATCGATGGCCTACTCGCTACACCACAGACACTGGTTCAGAGCTCAAAACTACCCCTGCCTCGTTTGCCTTCTGTTTATCCAGTGAGAGCCAGATGTTAAAGCCTTTGAGACGTGTTGACCAAAAAAATGAGTTACTTCTCGCAATCCGCAAATGGAGACATTTGCCAAAAATCGACACTAGCGTCAAATTTGTAGATTTTCGATTGATGCCATATTCTTTAAATATCACAAGCCCTTTATTATTTCATGCTTGTAAATTGTAAAAACTTCACCTATGATCGTGACGTATTATTTCCATTGGGCTCGAATCCGAGAAGTAACTCATTTTGTCAGCACGCTTCCCGTATTGTGTCGATTCAGGCGTAAAGACTTTGAACTTCTTAAAATGTAACAGGCAGAGATACTCGACGAAAAATGTATGTCGGTGTATTTAGACAAAGTTTCCATCCTGTCACAATACACAGAAAGGTCACATGGCATCTGTTGAGTGACGTCATGGCGCTCGCCGTCACACGTAGAAGACACCTGTTCGAGTCCCGTGTGGAGAGGATTGGTTATCAAGTATCCCGGTCTTTTTACAGTCACATTATATTCCTCTCAGCCCCCGTCTTTCTGCTGTTACATTGTATTCCTCTCAGCCCCAGTCTTTCTGCTGTTACATTGTATTCCTCTCAGCCCCGGTCTTTCTGCTGCTACATTGTATAGCTCTAAGCCCCGGTCTTTCTGCTGTTACAAATGTATTCCTCTCAGCCCCGGTCTTTCTGCTGTCACATTGTATTCCTTTCAGCCCCGGTCTTTCTGCAGTAACATTGTATTCCTCTCAGTCCCTGTCTTTCTGCTGTTACATTGTATTCCTCTCAGCCCCGGTCTTTCTGCTGTTACATTGTATTCCTCTCAGCCCCGGTCTTCTGCTGTTACATTGTATTCCTCTCAGCCCCGGCCTTTCTGCTGTGACACTGTACTGTTCTTCTTACTGTTCTCGACCACACTGCTGTAAGTTTCAAGTAAGCAACAGACTGTGTCAGTAAAGTGAGTCATATACATTGTAGTTTAGTTTGTGTTTGGTGGTGGCGTTGTTCGGGCTGTGAGTGTACCTTCTTGTTATCGAGACTTTGTCTGTGTGTGCTGTAAGTGTGTGAGCGCCCTTGTATGCTGTTTTTCTTGTTCTTTTCCATTTCATTCTTTCCTTTTTCTGTCATTTGTTTTATCCTTGTATTTATTTCGTCGTTGTTTGGAAAAAGTTTATCTAACATTCCACAATGTCTTCTGGACATTCACAATCCGTAGAGATATCCGCCCCTCCAGTTGCTGGGTTTTTTTTTCTTCAGCAGGAAGTGCCGGAGGATGTCGCCCACTTCGAGATATGTGAGGCGGCAGAACGGCTGGCGGGGTGCGGGGTGTATTGTTGGTGACCAGGATCTGGGGACACTCTGGCGACTACATCCCGCTAACACAGCGATCCAGGCGAAACTCGTCTCTACGGCGTTCACCTTAAGAGGTCAAGAAGTTTTTGTTGCTGCTATTGTTGTTGTTGTTTTGTTGTTGTGTTTTGTACGTGTTTTACGGCGCTCGCAACTGCATAAAGTCATAGAAAGTAGAAAGGCTGCAGAAAGAGTCCGGAGCTCAAAGGAGGGGGCAAAAGAGGCCCAGGGATGGGGGCAGAAAGTGGAGACGGAATCAGACGATAGAACATTGTTAGACAGCAGGACAGGGTGTGAAAGGAGAACATTTTAGAGAAGAAAAATTTCCGTCGCTATCCGGATTCGAACCCGGCATCTATTGATTGAGAGGCGAACACCTTGACCTCTAGACCACGAGAGCCCCCCCCCCCCCCCCCCCCTGTAGTTTCTTTGAAATCCCTGAAGCCTATTGTCGACAGGGACAACCAGAGCAATGAGGTGCCAACGACTTGCCTCACCAATGATGGTCTCCGGGTCTCCGTGGCCAGCGCAAGCCTAGAAGGTCACCTCGCAAGGCTGGTGTCAAGTTCCGGTCACAACTTCTGTGGGTGGAGAAGCCCGGGTCAAAGAGGGTATACTGACCTGGTGAGTGACTGGGTGCAAATTTGAATGGATAGATCTGCCGTCTTTCCCTCTCTCTAACAGGCTGCAAGTTGGCTCATTTATGGCCAAGCTGTACTTAAGATAGCAGTCTAGGCCGGTCTTTGCTTGGTTTGAGTGGCTCAAAGAAGGACATCGCAGAGGGGATCCTCAGTACCAGATAGTCTGTAGGTCTGTCGAGGAGTCAGTGGCGACGGATGCAGGAACTTGCCATGAGGAGGTCACCTCCCGTGACGTCAGTAGAACTACGCAGCATCCCTGACGGTGATACCGAGTCTTTTAGTGGACAGTGTACTCGTGTATGTGAACGCAACTCCAACAGATCAGAGGTGAGCCCATCGGATTTAGAACACCCATCTGACTCTGATGGAAATTCAAACAGTAATTTTTTTACAGCGGAGAGGGGGAGGAGGGGGGGGGGGCATTGAAAAGGTCGGCAGAGGCAGATGATTTCTAGTTTCGCCGAAGACAGAAAGGGTTATTGTGGTAACCAGGTAATACAGTCCACGTTCCCAGAACTTCTTTCCTCAGGGCAACCACAGTGGTCCAGTATTAGGAAGATGGCGGAGCCACAGAGTCCCGAGCCAGGATAAGGCGACAACATCTCGACGCTCGAAGCATTAAGGATGGACGGACGAGGATGACGACAATGCATGTACAATCGGATTTCGAAAATGAACGACATGCCGGGTAATTCGAGTTTGAATTAATTTGTTAAAAGTGTTTTACGGCGCTCGCAACTATATTTGGTCATATGAGCGAGCTGGACACATTCAAACATTTTCAGTTGATAGGTGATTTTGAACTTTGCCCGGATGGCGGCCGAAGCTTACGCTTATCGTTTATTTTATTATTGTAGGTGTTTTACGTTATAGAACTTTTAAAAAATTTGGGCGGCACTGCACGACCGTGCTCTATGGACGAACCGCGCCTGTCAATCTGACCAATGGCTAAGCGACTACAATCATATTTGGCCTCAAACGCAGTTGCTTTCCTTCAACCAAAGATTCTCTACTACCTTAGAGCTGGGGGGGGGGGGGGGGACATTATAAAGCTGACTCCAAGTATTGTAATCAGAGCTTCATAGCACAATGAATTATATCCTGATAGCAGTTGAGAATGATACAGCTGGTTTACTTTCGTCTGACAGCATTACAGTAATTCTAGCTCATTCAGTCATTTACCTATGCTCAGGGAACTTTGCATAGCACTTCAGCAGGCCAGCGACCAAACAATAATATTAATAACCTACCTCTTCTTTTTCACCATATTATATACAAGGGAGGCTACAACAGTATGGTTAAACGGCGTCTGGAACCAACCCACAGTTACAACCCTTTACTAGTTGCTTTTTGTTGTTGTTGTTGTTGTTTGTTTTTTTTTGGGGGGGGGGGGGGGGGTTGGTTTGAATTTTTTTCGCTTTTTGGGGGGAAAAGAAAAGGGGGGGGGGTATTTTTGTTGTTTTCATTGTTTATGTTTTGGTATTTTATGTTTTGTTGCTTTTTTAAAGTGTTTTTTTTTACCTAACGTAAGCCTACATGTTTTTATTTCTATTGTTTTAAAAAGCATTTTTATTAATCTGAAAGTGTTGTTTTATTTCCTTGTTTTTGGTTGTTCTAAGTCTAAGTGCTTGTTTTTTGCCGGGTTTGTTTGGGTTTTTTTAGGTAAAAGTTTTACAGCGCTCGCAACTGCATAATGTCATACGAGGGCGCGGGACACACCAAACATTTTCAGTTGGTAGGAAATTTTGAATTTTGCGCGGGTGACGGCCGAAGCCTACTCTTATCCATTTTGGACCACCAAGGGATCTTTAACGTGCGCAGCTTGCATACCGGACCTCCGGGATTTTTCGCCCTTGTCAGAAAAGATCAGGGCTGAAAGACAGCAGTAAGAAGGAGCCAAGGAGTTGCAGTAGAGAGGCTGCAAAAAGAGTCAGGAGCCCAGAGAAAGGGGCAGAGGAGGTGAGAGGGTGGGGGCAGGAAGAGAAGACGAAAGTGACGAAAGCAAACGACAGAACATTGCCAGAGAGCAGGAAAGGAGGTGAAAGGAGACCATTTTTAGAGAACTTTTTTCTGTCGCTACGTGGATTCGAACCCGGGACATTTGAATGAGAGGCAAATACCTTAACCTCTAGTCCACGAGAGCCGTGTTGCTGTGCACCGGCTGGCCTTTTATTCCTCTCCGGAATGGCGGCGCCCCCCTCAGGTTTGACACTCGTGACGTCAAAGCTAGATCTATGGCCTCTAGCTTTTATTTATAACCTCTTTGAGGCCAACAGATTGAGATTCTAGGCCTAGGCCTAGGCCTAAACTCCTTTCTTGAAGAGTTCTACTGTTGCAGCAATGGCGACGACACAAACTGAAAAGCCTTCGAAACCGGCTACACAGTCGGAAAAGGGTGACAATGCATTCATCAAAGCCTATTTGGTCGCATACAATGTCAGTCAAATGCTTGGGTATGTAGATATATGCATATAAAATCACAGAATCAAATATATCAGAATTTGAAGTTGGACAATGTGAAAAAAAAGTCTCAATTCAGATCACACCACCACTTGAGAGCCACTTGCTGTCACTGGACTTTGCCCGTCGGCATCTCTGTTTAGCAGGCGTACAACTCACATTCGAGTCATTAATTATTAGAATCTACTCAGTGACGTAGATCTACTTGAAAGTAATGAGAAACTGAATTGAATGTGTTTGGTCAATTTTTACTTTCACTCCCGCATACAGATGTACTGCTTTGGGCCGGGGGGTCAAACTGCAGTACAATTTTTAATTTTTGGGGTAAATTTTTCGATTGTTACTTTCACTCCCGCCCACAGATGTCAGATGCACTGCATCGGGGATCAAACTGCAATACTGTTTGCTGCAGATCACACACAAAGCCACTAAAACTGTCGCAAATCAATTATTTTTAAGAAAATTTCAAGTCTAACTCTGTAAAATACCAGATTATAATAGGTTAAAAAAAACAGGGGATCTTTTACCCAGGGGGCAGCCCCCCCACTGGAACCCCCGGATTGGTCCAAAGCACGTCTATCTCGATGAAGAACAATCAAATATTTCAAAAACTATTAATTTGCAATGGAAATGAAGTTGATATTCGTGTTCAGCGCATCAATATATAGCAGAAAATGGACAACTGGTAGAGCTAAGTGTGAGACAGAGACAGGAGGGAAAGTAAAAAAATACAATTTTTTGCTGCAAATCACACACATGCAGCCACTCAAGTACAGTCGCCTGGTCCTGAGCCTGAGTTGAATCTGCCATGACACATGACGGCCACCTGTACAAACGGCCACTTTCCATTTCCCCCCTGGCGTGATAATCTGTGACAATGGACGTTGACTTGAACTTGCAACAAAAGTGTCGCTCATTCTCCGAGTGGTGGCAACCCATGTGTTTGTTTTACCCTGGCACTCGGTCGTCATCGTCGTACTCATTTAGTTTATTTTACCCAAAATCACCAACTAAAAAAAGCTAGCCAAAAGTCAAACCAACAAAACAAAAACAAAAACCTTCTTACACAACCCACCTCTCCTTTATTCAAAAGAAAACAAAAACCCTAAAGGAATTTGCTTGAGATCATCCCCGGTTTGGACCATAGTTGTTGTTATTGATCCAGGTTTGGACCTTAGAAGAGAGTGGTTTGTTTTCTTCATTTTGATCAGTCCTGCCACTTTTTTTCTTGATAATGGGTGTCCGTTTTACACAGGTTTGACTGTACTAAAACTGTGGCAAATAGAATATTTTCTTGAAAATGCCAAACCTAGCTGTAAAACATCAAATTTATTTGATTTTTTAAAACTTCAGCCTGATACCCCCCTGAATGGCTCAAAGCGCGGAAATTACTATGCAATTAGGCTTAGTATGACCTAGTTTGATTAAAAACCATCAAATATTTCAAAAACTATTAATTTGCGATGGAAATGAAGTCAATATTCGTATTCAGCATTATAATAAAAAAAGAACAACTAAAGCTAGCTAAGTTTGAGACGGGAGGGAAAGAAAAATACCATGCATTTTTGCCTCATGGACAACAGTGTACTGATTACCACTCAGTATGTACTTTCTGTAAGTTACAAAGACGCTGTCTGGGCTAAACCCACACGCTCAGAACCACACTACTTTCCTTACACTCACTGATCAGATCATTGTCATAGATGAATCTAAATCTATCTCTCCAAACCTGAAACTGAGGTAGTTGAAGCCATATGGCAGTTTAAATGCCTTATATATATATATGATATTCCAACCAGCCAAATTACACTTTGGTTAGAAAAATAATAGTTTCAGTATGAGCAGACATGTTTGAGATTCACGGATTTGGTGTTACAACTTCCGATAAATGAATTGAATAGAACAAAAGAACTTCCGTACTCTACAGATGCACTGCTTTTGAGGGCCAAGCTAAATGATCATATTTTTGGCTGCTGAACACACGTTTATATGGCTACTAAAACTGGAGCAAATCAACTGTTTTTCAAGAAAGTGTTTTTAAGTTTTTATCCTTAATTTGCCCCCACGGAACGCCGATCCGCGACGGTAAGAAGCCGTCCCGTTTCGCCACGGGAATTGTTTAGTTGTTATTTATATATATATATATCATGTATATCAGATTATATTATGTCTCCCAAAGCTTTTTTCCCCTATTCTTCATTTACTTATTTTGGGTGTTAAATTTATCAGTTTGTTGAATTAAAAATGTTATTCATGTTATCTCAGGTGGTCTGCCTTGATGGTGATTATGGTGAGCCATTTCATCTCTGAAAAATCATACATGAATATCTATCCCAAGATCGAAGGCTTGCTACAAATATGCCAGACTGCTGCTGTGCTTGAGGTAATTAAATCATTTTTTGGCCCTTTTTTTTTCTTCATGATTTTGTGTAGTAATTAAAATATTAATATAAAAAGAGATATTTATAGCTATTGTTGTCATCATATATACTCTTTTAAAAACTCTTTCTGGAAGACAATCTCTCTTTTAAGCCAGCGTTTTCTTCCCTGTACTGTCTTCAAAGCTGGCAGACCTCTATTTGATAAATTCAGTTCTTTAGAAATAAATAAACATTCCTTATTCATATTCTAAAATGGGGCAGGGTTTTTTTTTCTGGGATGTTGTTTTCCGCTCTCTTAGGTTTGCCCTTGGTCTTAATAGACAGAATTTTTATTCTAGTCGCCAGTTTCCAAAATGATTAGAATTTTGTTGACTAGGGCATGAAACACTTTTGTATTATAAATTCTTTATTGTTGTCATATTCCAACTTTACTTGACTCAACCACGTATATGGAATAAACTTGTTGCAAGTCTGAATGTTCAACGTCATTCTATGTCATGCATTTCGGTGTCTTACTTCAGTATCAGTGCACCAGTATATATGTGAAAGATTAAAGTAGGCTACAGTACAGGGACTTGAGAATAACAATTTTCTGCCCATTTCTGCGAATCTCTTTGTGCAGACTAGACTGGCTTTACTCTAAGTGTTGTTGATATCAAATTAAAATGTATGTGTTATATTGATTTCCAGTTTGTTGGGATGCAGTTACTATGTATATTATGATCATTAATGATGTTGTTTAATCGTTCAATTCAATATCAGTAGCTTAAAGCTCTTCAAGTATGATCTTATCAATGCGTTTTAAGTTTTCTGTTTCGATGTTCTTAGTATTTCTATGTGAACCCAAGTATTGCATGTGTTGGGGGATGAATAATCGACAGAAGCAAGGTGTTAAGAAAATTCTCATTATATAGTACTCTTTTTGTCACTGCATGAAGTTTTGGACACACAAACGGAATTCCTTTTGAGCTAATGACAAATGAAGACTCTGTATCTATTTATATGAGGAGCAAAAGGTAGCAGTTCCATTCTGGTGGATTTGAGTAACCTTAGTTTGTTTTGTTTTTTAAAGTTTGGAATCTCATATCTTCTGTAGCAGGAGTGTCAAAAAAAAGCAGATCTTTTTTAATTCATTATTTGGACGAGCGCCTGATTTCACAACGATGCCTCACAAATGTTTGTGTCCCCAGATCCTCCACAGCATGACGGGCATCGTGCGGTCCAACTGGGTCCTGACGGCTTTCCAGGTGTATTCCCGGGTCTTCCTCATCTGGGGGGTCATCTGGAGCGTTCCTGGGGTGAGCAAATTTACGCTTTGTTGGGTAGAACAGGTCAAACATGTATAATATATTATTATTTAACTCTAAATTCTGGATTCCTTAACCCTATCCGTATGACCTGGGGTCATTTTGTACCCCCGGGTACCCCCTTCACTTTTTAGAATACTTGTAGTACGAAGATCTCTTTGAAACTTTCAGTATTTCTCAAAAAATCATTTTGACAGACTGCTATGCAAAGCGTACGGATCAGATTAATAGCGTGTAAATTTCCTCTTTGGAAAGTGGTAGCACAGAGTACCCCACGTCGTATGGATACAATAGTAAAACACGATGTACGGATAGGGCTAAAATCTTTTCCTACTGGCATTTCTGGTGTCACAAGGAGCTCAAGGCAAAGATAGGCCAAAGGAAATATGGAGATAGGTGTGGAAGGGAATATAAGAGAGATGAAGCTACGAGGCAGGGATAGGCCACGGGAAACAGGGAGGAGATATGTGGAAAAAGAACTTGAGAGAGACGAAGCTCACTTGGAACGAGCCAGGAAGGATGGCCCTGGACAGAGATAAATGGAAGGAGCTTGTATGTGGCCTATACCCTGCCAGGGGTGAAAGGCATTTATGATGATGATGATCTCTGGTGTAGTGGTTAGGCACTTTGTTGTTGAATACTGAAGATGCGAGTTCAATTTCTTTGTGGGGAATTTTTTTAGTTTTTAAAAATTGAATATCTCCATCTATCTGCTGGTAAACTGTACCCCCGACATTCTGGGTTGGCCCTAAATTGTGTAATCTGGGTCAGTGAGGGCCAGTTAGGTATCTCCACCTATTAAATGGCATTTTGTATCCCCGATTCCCTCTCACTCTGAGGTGATCCTGGCAGGAAAAGGTTAATGCAGCCTACCTTCTGAATGATGGAACTTTTATCAATGTGGGCGGGAAACATTTACAATAAACAATTTTTGCAGTGGTGGTATATTTGGTAAATGGATGAAGAACAAAAAATCTTCATTTTTCTCAAGAACTGGAAAAATTTGATCTCTCTTAAACTACAGAGCAAAGCGTTCCAGGTCTTGGAGCCGAGATATACTGATGCCCTTTCACCCATTGTTTTTTTCCCCCCTCTCTGTCTTTCCCCCAATGAGCAGGTGGTTGGCAGGTACTCTGGTGTGGTTTGCCCCTTCTTTCCTATCAAACATCTTTCGTCCTTATCTCTCCTCCTTCTTTTTTGTGTTTGTTACTCTCTTGTAACACTTCTAATCTTCGGCACCTATAATGACCTTATTGTGTTGCAAGTGCCGTAAAACTCTTACTAAAACTAAACTAAAAAAACATCTTTCGTCCTTACCTCTCCTACTCTTTTTGTGTTTGTTACTCTCTTGTAACACTTCTAATCTTTGGCACTTATATGACTGTATTGTGTTGCAAATGTCGTAAAACACTTACTAAAGTAAAGGAAGTTGTCTCACTAACAAGGCAATCCCCAATGTCCAGATCGGACGCGGGAACAACTTTACTTTACTCTCTTGTAACACTTCTATTCTTCAGCACTTATAATGACTTTATTGTGTTATCAAGTGCCGTGAAACTCTTACTAAAACTAAACTGTCCCCCCCTCTTCCCCCCCCCCCCCCCTTCCCCCCACCAGACCCAAGGTGGGTACCCAGTGACCATGTGGATGATGGCGTGGACGGTGACGGAGATCATCCGCTACTCCTTCTACTTCTTCAGCCTGATGCCAGGACCCGTGCCCTACTTCCTGGTGTGGTGCAGGTCAGTTGCCGGACGGTCAATCTCCTACCTGGTTATTGGTTGTTTTTACTCTGGTTTCTATGTTGGGGAGGCAATTTTTTTTTGTGATTTTTTTTTTTTTTTTTTTTTTTTTTTTTCCTTTTTCTTGGGGGGGGGGGAATTAACGTACAGAAAAGTGGGAAGACATGGAATAACATCAAGCGGCTAGCCCAGGATAGAGATAGAGAAAGGTGTAAAGTGTTTTTTCCAGGGCCTATACCTTGGTGCAGGGTGAGAAAGGCAATGGTGATGATGAGGAGTCGGCATCCCGTGGGGGCAAAGTATTAAAAGTTTTTGAGAGCATCCTAGCAGAGAAATGAGTGGGGAATCATGTCGCTGGTGTCTGTCTCAGATCTGGTAGCTGAAGAAGAAGAAGATAGTGGAAACAGTCCTCATCCTGCAGGATCTTAATTGAATATACGAGGGGGCCTCAAACAGTTACACTTACACAGTTTTGAAAGTTCCATGACCATTTTTTTTCTTCTTCTTTCAGGTACACTTTCTTCATTGTACTCTACCCCATCGGAGTCACGGTGAGTAGTTAATATAGTTTGATCATGTATTTAAAAATCTTTGAGAGGGTTCTCGTGGCCTAGAGGTTAAGGTGTTGGTTGGCCTCTCATTCAAAGGCCCTAAGCTCGAATCCGGGTAGCAGCGGAAAAATTTTCTTCTCTACAATTGTCTCCTTTACCTCCTTTCCTGCTCTCTAGCAATGTTCTATTTTCTGCTTTCGTCTCCACTTTCTGCCACCACCCCCTCACCTTCTTTGCCCCCTCCTCTGGGCTCCTGACTCTTTCTTGACTTTTTCTGCAGCCTTTCTACTTCTACTCCTTGGCTCCTTCTTACTGCTGTCTTTCAGCCACACCCATGATCTTCTGGTAGGAAAGATCTACACCTAGGTTGAAAAATATCGGAGGTCCTGTGTGCAACTTGCGCTCATTAAAAATCCCTTGTTGGTCTAAAATCGATAAGAGTAGGTTTCGGCCGCCACCCAGGTAAAATTCCAAATTTCCCACTAAATGAAAATATTTAATGTGTCCCGTGCGCTAATATGACCTTATGCAGTTGCGAGCGCCGTAAAACACTTTCCCAAAAAAATATACATATGACTGTGATGTTATGTTATGACTGTGATATTATGACTGTGATGTTATGACTGTGATGTTATCACAGAAGATCTTCGTAACCCAGTGTGTAACTCACCTTGCATTATTAATTTTGTGTCTGTACCCCCCCCCCCCCCCCCCCCCCCCAGCTATACCTCTACATGTTATATATCATTGTCTTACTATCCTCATTTTTTTTCTACTTCTTTTGTATGTTTGTCACTCGCTTGTGAACTGCTATTTCCGGGGTGCCTTGATAGTCGAAGCAGACTTATTGCTGTTGAGGCTAGAGAGGACGGTGAGCAGAGTAAACCTTATTCCCCGTTAGGACTTCTCTGCTGACATCCACCTCTTGGCGCTCATATGACCTTATGCAGTTACGGGCACTGTAAAACCTGACTAAAACTAAAATGTTTTTCATGGGTGGTTGGAGGGTGCTCTGGTGTGGTTTGCTCCTTCTTTTTTTCCAAACATCTATCATCCTCATCCCTCCTCCCTCCTTTTTTGTGTTTGTTACTCTCTTGTAACACCTCTAAACTCCGGCACTTATATATGACCTTATTGTGTTGCAAGTGCTGTAAAACTCCTACTAAAACTAAACTAACATGTTTTTCAATCCCCCCCCTTCCAGTGTTCCCCCAGCTCTACCTCCACATGTTCAGCCAGAGGAAGAAGATCATCGGAGGACGAGACTCCTCCTCCTCCCATCAGAAGAAGGTCAACTAGACGGTCCCAGCAGCCAGCCGCCCAATCTTTGTCACACACATGGTTTATCTGGCTCTTTGAATAGCGAATCATCTACACATTGAATAGTGAATAGTGAAGGTTCATTGAATAGTGAATGTTCTGTTCGTTGAATAGTGAATGTTCTGTTCATTGAATAGTGAATGTTCATTGAATAGTGAATGCTCTGTTCATTGAATAGTGAATGTTCTGTTCACTGAATAGTGAATGTTCATTGAATAGTGAATGTTCATTGAATAGTGAATGCTCTGTTCATTGAATAGTGAATGTTCATTGAATAGTGAATGTTCTGTTCATTGAATAGTGAATGTTCATTGAATAGTGAATGCTCTGTTCATTGACTAGTGAATGTTAATTGAATAGTGAATGTTCTGTTCATTGAATAGTGAATGTTCATTGAATAGCGAATCATCTACACTTTGAATAGTAATTGTTCTTTGAATAGTGAATGCTCAGATCATTGAACAACAAACCATCGACATATTGAACAACAAATCATCTACACGTTACATAGCGAATCATTTACACGAACTATCTACACATTGAACAGCGAATTATCTACACATTGAATAGCGAATTATCTACACTTTGAATAGCGAATCATCTCGACCGCTTTGTGTAAGACTCTGTTGTCATACGTTGCATTTTAAAATGGTTTATAGCGGAGCCTTACACTACGGTGCTGTTGATCTTGACAGTGGAAAGCGAACCGTACATTTTTTTCATCGGATAGCGAAAGGTACATATTTTTCATTGGATAACGAACCGTGTATTTTTTCATCGGATAGCAAATCATCTGCTCATTGAACAGCAAACTCATCTCGACGCCTCAGTGTAAGACTCCCATCATGCATCACTTTTCACAATGGCATGCGGCGGAGTCGTACATTAAGCAGTGGATCTGTTCATTGAATAGCTAGAAATAGTTATACTCATTGACTAGGGAGAGAAATGTGTGTGTAGTGGTCGTATCTCATCGTGAGTCGTTTCTTTACCTTTTTGACCGTCTGTCTGAATTCTCTCAGGCCCGATTGTTCTGATAAACTATGTTGCTCACTTTTTTTTAAAAGATGAAAGAGGTCGTGGGATAAAATTGTGCAGCGTGCTGACAAAAATGAGTTACTTCTCAGATTTGAGCCCTATGGAAATAGATACATCACGCTTGCAGGTGAAGGTTTTACAATTTATAAGTATGAAATAATAAAAGGCATGTTGTACTTTAAGAATATGGCATCTGTTTTTAAAAAGCTACATATTTGACCTTAGTGTCTATTTTTGGCCAATATCTCCTTTTGTGGATTGGGAGAAGTTGTAACTCATTTTGTCGGCACGTCTCACAAAATTGTTTTGAAACAACTGAAAGAGGGGCCAAACTGTGCTGGAAAATTGTTGCAGTAGCTTCCCTTGGTTGCTCCTGAGATGGGTTGTTGGGTGTTAAAATGTTCTACTCGTGGCAAAGTGTGGACCCGGTATGCAGTTATGAATCAATGGACGCACTATGCATTGTTTGTGCGGGAATGAGTTAAACTGTTGATTATCAGTTACGGTCTTTTGCAGCATTGCTAGTTAGTTTAGAAAACTGTATTGGTTACAAAGTTGTCATATTATTGTGTAGTTCAGTTGGTATCTTGCTGGGCTGGTTGAAATGCCGAAATGGGGCGTTCTGAATTTTGGGTGTTGTATTGGGGAGTTTTTAAGGTTCTCCGTTCATTTTGCTCGGTCTTATATGGACGTTAGACCCAGAGGTGGGAGCCTTACAGTGTTGAAAGGGGCTTTGAACCTACTCAGTGACATGCAATGACGGGCTTATTGTCATTCGAGTTTTAAGCAGATGGAAATTGAAATTGGCAAAGAAACTCTGCATTCAGCTATAGAACTAACAGATACTCTAGTGGCACTCATATGACCTTATACAGTTGCAAGCGCCCTAAAACCTTACTTAACCTAAGCTAAAAGATAATGTAGCTAACAGTTAACACTCACACAAGAGATTACATTTATATATGTACTTTTTTTTTAATGGGCTGAATCGACATATCGTCACGTCTTTGAGCGTGTGAAAACGTTCGAAAATTCTCCCAGATGGCCTGGCTTTTTAATATTTAGGGATAATGGACCCGTTTCATTTCGCTGCCACCATATTATTTGTTTGTGTGTCTGTGAGTATTTTGTATATATTACTACAGTGTGTAGGTTCTTTTTCTTGGAGAGAGAAATTCGTTGACGGCAATAGCAAAGACGTTGCATCTTTTGCTGTTGCGTAAAACGTAAAACTTCCACTTTTAATTTATATTGCTCAAGTGAAGTCGAGTGGGGCCCATGACAAGGCAGTTGTTTTTTTTCACTGGGGAATTCAGCTAATGTCCAAGGTTCGAGTCTAGCTCACTGATTATCGGCGTTTGCATTGTTATGATTTCAAAAGGCTTTAATGTTGAATTTAGCTTATTTTAAGAATTGATCACTACCGAGTGGAGGAGTGAATCAAAGCTGTCTTGGCTGTTTGGTTCTTTGAAATTTATTTACTTACAGTGCAGCCTCTCTATAACTACAACGACATTGTCGGGACCAGAAAAAAATGCCGTAACCGGTACAGAGAGTTGTCGTTATAGAGAGGCAACCGAAACTATTGCTAATGATATATAAGGAAAAAATTGGGACCTGGGCACCATGTCACTATACAGAGGATGTTGCTATATATCGAAGGTCGTTATAGAGAGACTGCACGGTACATGTATTTTAAACATTTTTTTGGGTGGAGTCTGGATAGGCAGATGTCTGGAGTGAGACTATAAGGCGTTCAAAAGTTATGTGCTTGTGAGTTAGGTGGTGAAACTGCAAGGGTTAGTGTCCACGCAGTAGTTATGTAATCAATTTGTTTGTACGTTTTTTTTACTGTATTGTGATGCTAGTTCCGGTTCATTTTGCGTCGTTGATTTCATGTGTGTTGTAATGTTACCCTCCCCAAAGTTTCAAAGATTTTATTATATTTTTTCACCTTCCCTGTGAATCCGGAGAATGTTCCAGAACTGGATCTACTTATGTTTGTCTATACAGCAGCAGAGACCTGGTTTGTTATGTTTTACGTTGTGATACCCTGTGCTTTAATTGTCATCAAATTCTTCTTTAGTTTTCAGAGATGTTTCAAATTGCCTCCAAAGATCTCTTAATTTCTTTTGTTCTTTTCTAAGTTGATACTTAATTTTTCCTTATTTTATCATTTGTTTCAAAAGTTATGTTAATTTCTGTTGTAGCTTTAAATGCAGATGCTTAAGTTTTCGTTATGATATATAATTTGTTTTCAAAGATATGTTTTAAATTTCAATTTGTCATTTCAACAACAGATTTTATTTGTCGTTATGGTAGAATTTGTTTCAAAGGAAAAGTGTTTTTCTATTTTATTATGTACATATTATTATCGTATAAGTTGTGTCCAAGAATATTTCCTTTTGTTGTTAAGATCAATTCAATATATAATTTATTTGCTTTATTTTTTTTTTCTCCAAAGACAGATGTATCTTTTTATTTTAATCAACAGAGACTCAATTTTTCTCGAGGTTAAATAATTGTTTCCAAAGATAATTATGTTCACGTTTTGTATTTCCCCTACAATTAAGAGTCTGCTCGTAAAGAGACTAAGAAGAGTGCTTTGTCTTCGAATGTTGTCATTTATTTTTTTTGGAGAATGTGCACTGGAAAGAGGAATGTCAGAATTGCTTTGAATTTTTTTTACTTTGTTTTAGAACAAGGTTTTTTTTTCTCACTACTTCAACTTTTGAGAAAAACGTCCTTTGAGTGTGTGGTGTTTTCATGTCCCTCTTTTTCATTGTCTTGCGAAGGTGTATAGTTTAAGGCAGTAACTCGAAAGTTTTGAGTTTTTTAAATGGTAATAATAATAATAGTACAGTAGTGGAAAAAGAGTCGTGTGTCTGTAAGTCTGGTAGAAATGCTTCCGTGAAGAGATGGACTGTTATGTTCTAAGTGGGTAAGGGGGGGTTTTTTTTTACATTTAATGACGAGAAAAAAATCCCATTTGATTAAAGATAATGAGAGAAAATACAAAGTTTTGCCCACAGTATTTCTGTACTATTTATAATTTATAGTAGTACTTGCTGACTCCTTGTTTTTATTGAGGACCAACAGGGCGACAGAAGGCTTTCAGAACGGCTGAAAGTTAATCAAAAGGTTTAACTTTTATTTGATCGCCTTTATGGACAAGCGGGCCAACCCAGATTTCGGGGGTTTCCAGAAATCTTGACCTACCCGTAAAGTGGGCATTGCTCTACCTATAGGAGAAGCTTGGTTTCATTGGTGTGTAGATCTGTATTAGTTTGGTTATAAGAGAAAACTCTCCACTCCTCGTATTTTAAAGAAACTGAACAAGGGTCCAAAAAACTTTACCCTCCATTTTCTCAAAACTGCATTTTTCAGGACAGCCCCCTTTGTGATTAAAATTAAAAGCGACCATTTCTGCCCATGACATGGTTCGAACATAGCATTAACACCGTCACAATGTTGTGGGATCCCTAAATAAAACTCCTCGCTCTTGGACGTTGGAAGTACAAAATGATTCCCCCCCCCCCTCCCCTCGTGTGTGTGTGTGTGTGTGTGTGTGTGTGGTTGGAACAAGGTTGTCCTTGTCTCGTCCATGACCTCTGATGCTACGTCTTGCTACGGCACGACTTGGGATTCCAGTTATATTCCATTTATATATATATATTTATAATATAATAATGTGTGTGTGTGTGTGTGTGCGGGCTGTTTTGTTTTTTCTAGAGTATAGATTTTATTTCTTGAGTGACCAGATAAATTTGACAGATATTAACACTTTTCTAAAAATGTGAGATTCTTGATGTATGTGTGTATCATCAGTATCATAAAATAAAATAAGATCAGATAAGATAAGATACATATGTGAGGCAGCGTGCGTCAAAATAATCAAAGTGAAGAAATTTTCATTTTTTCTCAGGTTTGTTAATTTTTAT